TATGTACATGTCAACTCATGTACATGTACCTTAAGGTTACTTTTAAATATGGGTACTATTAATTGTGAATTTTGCGTTAGGGTTTAAAGTTGTAATTATTAATACGCGTAATTATTAATAATGACATCATGATCCCATATAACTATTAGTAATAATTACTTAATTGCAATTTTTAATACCAGCAAAATCTACCTCGTGCTAAAATTGCGAAATTTAGTACCCGCAATTAAAAGTCACTCTAAGGTACATCAATATATAAGCCAAGAATACATTGTATATGCATGTGTAAGTTTCAAAGAGCTTATAAGTTATAGACACTTCTTGTTTGTGATACAAATATTTTGTTACCCCTTTTTCTTTTTTTAGGTATTGATAAGTCCTCCTATACTGATACTTTGGTACCAAATTTACTAGCCTATTCCTAGCCTCACATTTGGTCTCACAATCAAGAGATTTTGAGGCTAAGGGTATACTAAACATTGAATCAAAGTGAGTCACAATAAGCTTTTGATTATTCAGCTTTCCTTTAATAAAACATGTAAAATAAACATGTTTTTTAAAAAGATATGACATACCCCATACCAAGAGTAGTACATGTATGTGGTAGCTGAGTTGTGGATTTACTGTATAGTTACTGTGGGAATTGTAGAGTGACATTTGTGATACTTTAATCTATTGTTATACATATATGTACATGTACTTGTTCTTTCAATAATGACTGTTGTATCATTATTATTGTTGTTGTTGTTGTTGTTGTTTTTCCTCCATTAGGTGTAGTGATGTTGCTGCTAGAGTTGCTGCCTATGATCTCCTCATTGAGCTCTCAACCGACTGTCTTGCTAACTTGAAGTGTGTAACCAATATGTTGATAGCAATGCACCACAGCTGGAGACCAATGAACTCTTCATGAAGAATGGGAGGTGAGAGAAGAAGGGAGATATATGTATATATCTCTCTCACTCTCTCACTTTCTCTCTAATTCTCTCTCTTTCTCTTCCACTACTCTACCATACTTTAGTTTTGTCCACTCACTATTGGCAGATGTTCCTGTGGTTATGTTGGTCTTACGAATGCTTGTCTTAAGAATGGTCTTAAGAATGCTTCACTTGTTACATGAATACAGTCCTGCAGCAGCTATACATGCAGCCAGGGATAAGAGAGGCTCTACTGGGAGTGGAGAGAGATGAAGAGGACTCAAGGTATAGTAATGTAATATTTATGTTTTATTTGTAAAAAATTTTGAAGTG